AGTCCTAATGGAAAATGTGGCAAAACTCTTGGAGGCAGTCCAGAAGCCTTGTTTCACAACCACATCTTTTGATGGCGTGCTACTTGAGAATTATTCCACATGATCTACAAGAAATTACGTGTCCCAGTTTAGCATGTGGGCTGTATGAAAGCTTCCACATTTTATTAAAAGGAAGGAAATAACTGTGCGCTGCATGTGTATAGGTATCATTGTAGCTGATTGTATGAATCTCTTTTTTTGCATTGCTTGGGGAATTCTTGGAGCTGTAGTTCAAAACTATGCATTTGCTCATCTTTAATTGTAGTGGATTTCTGCTGACTGGGTTTATATCCTATGCTCTTTTCACAGTAGTGCTAGGGAGCTTGGTGATGGAGAAAGGAATTTTTTCCTCCTCTCCTCCCCCCTCCCTTATTCCCATAATGCACTTGCAGGCACCTAAATCTTGTTTTCCCTCTACCTAGAAAACAATGTCTGTAAAGCTGGGATGGAAAAGGAAACATTGTCTTTAAAGCTTGCTTTGTTTTCCCTTGCTTTGGCTGAAGAGTTGAACTGCAGTTTTATCTCTGCCGTGGTCAGATACCTACAGTTCATAAGCAGCCTTTTCCTCTTGCTTTGAAATATATGTGGGGTTTGCTACAGGCATTATTGTAGTTGTTTACTTCCCTAATGGAAACGACAGGAGGTGCTAAAAAAAAACTCCTCAAAATAGGAAATCACATTGCACCTCTAACTCCACCAGGCAAAGGCATTGTGTTTTCTCCTACGTCTAACTCAGAAATTTAAAAGGGAAAAACACTGACATATTTTCTATGCTAAGGGAAGGTAGAGGAAAGAGAAATAATGTCACTCTGCTAACAAGCTGATGATAGCATCATCAGCTTCATGAAAAACCAGTCAACACAGCAAAGTGATGCCAGCATTAAAACCTAATCTGAAATTCTATCTAGCTTCCTGGCTGCTGGGTTCTTTAAGCCTTCCATGGCAGTCTGTGTATGAACAGGAGGAGTCTCCATATTTGTCTTAAAAAGTGGGTTTGATCCATGAAAGCTCACATTAAAATATAGCAGTTAGTCCTTAAGAACTGGCTGGATAGTTGGGTGGTGTAGGGATCTGGCTGCAGAGCCAGAAGCTGGGAAAGATTCCCCACTGTACCTCCTGTAAGTAGAGCCAGTCTGTGTGACCTAGGGCAAACTGCACGGTTCCCGACACCCCCAGGAGAAAATGGAAACACACTTCTATGTATACTTTAGCTCGAAAACCCTGAAAAGGACTGCTGCAAGTCAGAATTCGTTGTTGTTTAGTCATTTAGTCAGGTCCGACTCTTCGTGACCCCATGGACCAGAGCATGCCAGGCCCTCCTGTCTTCCACTGCCTCCCGGAGTTCTGTCAATTTCATGTTGGTTGCTTCACAGACACTGTCCAGCCATCTCAT